TTCTTGGAGGGCGCACGGAGGCTTCCAGGAGGGCCCACGGCGGCCTCGGGAGAGCCTGCGAGATCTCAGGAGGCTCCCAGGAGGACCCGATGTGCACCGCGCCCATGGTCTCAACGGACAGGCTCCCACCCGCGTGCCTGTCTTTACTGTTCCGCCCCCGCGAGGGGCCTCCGAGAGGGCCCACGGAAGCTCCAGGAGGGCCCATTCGCGGCCCCGGCAGACCCCACGAGGTCCCTGAACGGGCGTTCCTGTCGAGACTCCCTGGGAGGTTCCTTCGGCCGCCAACGAGGCTTCGTTTGACAGCCGCTGGCTTCCTGAACCTCCCTGAGCTTCCACGGCAGATGAAAGTGAAGCAGCACGAGGAGGATGACAAAAAGGCGGGGGATGAGGACAGGGGGAGCCTGGAGCAAGATGAACGTGGAAGGCAGAGCACGCATACGCCGACGACAGCGACGACGACAAAGCAAATGATAACGGGAAAGAGATGGACCTGCGCAAAGAAGACGGAAGCGTCGATGAAAGCAAGGTGGGGGAGGAGAAAGGATCAGGAGTTTGACGATAACCAACATCTTACCGGACTTGAAATTACAATAGCGAGTAGACAGCGGAATGGAGCAGAAAGGAAATCCACGAGCCTGGCAAGGATAGCAAGTATCTACTGATGAGACACGTGATTATTGCTTTGTTGAAGCACGTGCAACGTGAAATCAATCAATAGGACGATGCAGCCAACATACGGAATGGGTAGGATAATGTGAGAGGATGCGGTACGCCAAGAGGGAGGCAGCATGACGCCCAAACAAGTCGACTGCGCCCGAGTGGCTTCCACCCCCGCGAGGGGCGCTACAGGGTAGTAACATGCTGGCCGCACGGCGCCACGCGCGCGTGTGGAAACCTTCTGCTGCCTCCACGCCCTCATCAGCGCACTCGGATCACCGCCGTTGTCGCCATCGTCAACCGCCGCCATCGCCGCCATCATCACCATCATCATCATCATCATCATCATCACCATCACCACATTCTCCTTCGTCGCCGACGCATGGACATCATCATCTTCAGCTTTGTCACCAGCATCAGCGCCGTCGTTGGCCTTGCCGCCATCATCCTCATTATCGCCACCACCGTCGCTATCATCGCTATCGCCATCATCACCATGATCATCAGCATCGCAATTATTTTCACCATCATCATCACCATCATCATCACCATCATCATCACCATCAGCATCGCCATCATCGTCATCACCATCGTCTCCGTCATCGTGATCACCATCATCATCACCATCATCCTCTCCATCTTGATCATCATCATCAGCATCATCGTAAACCCGGAGCAATAGACACGAGATGAGGCCAACGTATTGCCTTTGTAAGAAACGCGGCGCGAGCCCTGGGAAGGGCACTTGAATTGAACAACACACTGGGATCGGAGAAGAGGGATCGACAGCAACTGCTCTTCAGGAGTGATGATTCAACAACGAACCGGCGATGCTCCGTGGCGCTGGACTGATGGGAGCAATTTGGCCCGTTTTCTCCCATCATTGGATGATGGGAGCTCGGATTCGGGAATTAGCTGATCCGAGTACTCCCAGGATTCCGGTGCCCGCAAGCGTCGCTGCTAACTACCGCAGTATCCGTCATCCTCATCGCGGAAACCCATTTCAGGTACGCGCCCACTGATGGTTTAGGACCGATCGGCCGTCCTTGTTTGGAGATACACCAAAAAAAATCAGATCACACATACATATTTGTTGTATATATATATCTGTATACATAGAGAGTTTTAAAGATACACAAACGTACAGATACATTACCGATGCAGTGGCGATGCTGGTGGCGGCCAGCATGCCCGCAAACGTGGTGCCGTGGCGACGGGATTTCCCAGACACGTCCACGAACCTTTCAAACGAAAACGAGGGCGGCGACGCCGACAGAGACAACGATGACGACAATGGCCGCCGCAACCCTGCCCGCGCGGCACGACGACCGACGCCGGAGAGGACATCTGCGACGACGGCGGCGACGAGGGCGACACCGACGACGGCGTCGCCGCAGGCCGCCGCCAGCGCCTTGCCCGCGCGCTCTGTGCCGCGAGTGCGCGCGTCATGGGTGCGTGCGGGGACGCTGCCATGGATCGCGCCAGCGAACGCAGCAGTCGCCGGCGAGGCCTCGTCGTCCGCGTCGTCGGACCCTGTCGCTGCCGCGGACCCGCGGGCGGCCTCGTCGCCCCCGCTACTGTCGATGTCCTCGCCGCCGCTGGCGCCGCCGTCGACGTCGGCTTCGAGCGGTTTCGTCGCCGTCGTTAGTTGGCACTGTCGCCGCGCCGTCGTTGTCGTCGTCGTCGCCGCCCTTGTCTCCGACGCCGCTGTCCCCGTCGCCGTCGTCTCCGCCATCGTTTGCTGTCGTCGTCGTCCTTCAGAAGGTTCCTGAGTGTTTCTGGAGATTCCTCTCGGCAGCGAGCGAGCGGGGGGGAGTGAGAAGGAAAAGGCCTTTTCAGAAGGTGGCGGAGGCGTTCTGAGAAGCCCAGGAAATTGCTCAGAAGGCCCAGGAAACTGCTCAGAAGGCCGGGGGACTTACGCACCTTTTCAGAAGGCCTTCTCCTTCTCACTCCCCCCCCCGGCTCGCCGCTGACATGAGGAACGGGTAGGGGGGGGGGGGGGGGGCAGGAGGCAGGAACCCCCCAAAAATATCAAACTGGGCCCCACAAGGGACGAGGCGGAGGAAGCAGCAGCAGGTCGAGGATCACGGTAGTCGGGTCATGGACACAGGGAACAGCAGTGAGAGAGAATTCGCCGTGCTCTCTTCCTCGGTGGACCAGAGAAGACGGCCCATCGATGCGCAGCGCGGGATTGACTCGGGATACTGTCGGCGACACCTCTGTGGCACAATCGTGCGAACACACATGTGCACGCATGCGATGGTAAAGACTCGCCACAGCCAGAGCGTTTGGTGGGACGTTAAGGTAACTCCTTGCTGCCGCGGTGTGTGCCTAGCCTTCCGTAGCTCCTTACTTTCCAGTGCCATCGCCAAAGACAAGCTGCCTTGGATTACAGCACGCGTGCGGAACAGATTGCTTCCTCAGCCGCAACCTTTCATGGAGGGTGCACCAGCAGGCATGTAACTCAGAGCGTGAATCACCTACCCCGCTTTCGCTTCCAGGCAAAACCAAGCCATACCACGCGCCTCCTCGTCAAGCGGCCTGACCAGTACAGGCCGTAGTTTGGCATCGTTTGGTATCTCTTGGAAGCGAGGGTGGTCAAAAGCGAGGTAGGTTTGTTTGCCCCCTAGTAACATTGAACGTGCTCAGTGGAAGACAGCCCGCAGACTGCAGCTTTGGCATGGCGTGGGCTACGGTCAGCAATTTTGCCTCGGCGTGTCGCGCTGCCTGCTCTGGCCCTCCACTCGGACCGGGCGAAAGGGGGGGATTGGGAAAAGGGGGGGTCACGAAATCTGCTGCATGCAGCTGGTTTTTCGGCCCCACCGAGGGGCCCAGTCCCCGATACATCGCCGCCCCAGGCGCCTTGGAGGCGCTGGGAAAATCAGCTACTGGAGCTGATTCTCGAAGGATTGCAAAAAAACCAAGGATTGCAAATCCTTTTGCAATCCTTGGTTTGCAATCCTTTTTTGCAATCCTTCGGTTTTTTTGCAATCCTTCGTTTTTTTGCAATCCTTCGTTTTTTTGCAAAACCCCCCGCCTTTGTTATCCCCCCCTTTCGCCCGACCCGAGCCACGTCTCGGCGCGAAGCGCCGTCCACGTCCCGAGCTCTTCCGAGCCTCCCGCCCCGCGGAGCGGAGCGGCGCGTTGTCCGCCTGCAGGTCACGGCGTGCCGCCGGGGCCGCCGCCCCGACGCGCGGAGCGGAAGTCCTTGTCCGTACTTCGTGGAAGCACGACGAGGTCTGTGGAAGTCGAATCCTGGAGAGGAAGCGTGCTGCCAAATCATTTCCAGATGTCCAGAACATGCTTGAAACATGTAGGAACATGTCTGAAACGTGTTTAGGACACGTTCTGCACAATTCGAGCAAATCTTTACTTCAATGATCGGATTGTTAGAGTGTCCATTGTCATGGCATCCACAAGACAAGGTGGAACAGATGAATGCCGACGCCAGCGACTCGCCCCCCGAAGTGCCGCAAGCGGAGAGGCGCGCTCGGCGCAGCCGCACGCGTTTTGCCTACCCTCCCTCGCAGGCCGGCCGTCGGCGTGGTCCTGCTCCCCCCACACGGCTGCGCCGCACGCTGCCAGCCGCCACCGCGCGTGCACCCCAGACTTCCGACATCGTGAAGGAGGTCGGGACCACATTTCGGGGGCGGAAAAGAGGGGGGTGATGACTAGGGGGGGGTGGATATCATGGCGGGGGCCATGATATTTCCTCAGATTTCATGGCGCCTCTTCTTGTTTCCTTGCGTCCCTGGCCCCCCCGCTGGGCCGCGCACATGCTGCCGGTCATGATTTGCACCCCCCCTCTTGGACACCCCCTCTTGGCCGCTCCCGAACATTGCCCGGGACCAGGCAATGGCCCCTGGAGGCCGCACACGGCCAAAAGCCTTCTGCCGTTTTTCTTCAGCGGCGCGAGGATGGCAGGGCCCGCTGCCCACTCGGCTCACGGCACTGCAAGTGAGCTTCGTCGCGCTTCGGTGGCCAGGCTCGGGTTGCGCGGCCAGCAGCACCGAGGGGCACCTGCCTCCTCGAGCGCACGCCACCTCGTTCACCTCCTCGCGCGTCGTGCATGCCAGAGGGCAAGGTTCGGGGGAGATCGGTTCAGGGGACGACGCATCGGCCCCCGATCGCCCAGGAATCGCCGAGGGGAGCCCGATGGCCCACTCCGCCCAGGACCACGCCGTTTCGCTATCTGTCGGCGACGTGCCGAAGATTCCAGGTCCACGATTCCCGTCTATGAGCTGGCCCCCCCTCAATTCCCCCAGCCAGAGGGCATCGCACAGGGCGCCACCATCCACCGGCCACTGCAATCCCAGCGCATGCAGCAGCCGCCCTGAGATCCGGCATTGCGAAAAGCTGCAACCTTGCGAAACAGTTCGACGGGAGACGTAGACCCCATTGGTCGGCTGCATTTTTTCAAGCCTGATCGATATGCGATGGTCCTGGAGCCCGAAGCAGGGCGAGAATGCCCGGTGTGAAAATGTGCAACGCCTAGATCCTAGATCTCAGAGGAGCCGGGAGGCGGTGGGGCAGAGCGAGGTGCCGGGCCCCGGCCGATGGGCCGACGAGCGGCCCCCCCACGAGTCCGAGACGTGCCGATGCCGCGTGTGCGGGGAGGAGGAGGAGGAGGAGGAGCAGGAGGAGGAGGAGCAGGAGGAGGAGGAGGAGGAGGAGGAGGAGGAGGAGGTAGGGAAGAGGACGGAGGACCACGAGACGGAGGATCGAGGAGGATTGAGGAGGGTCGATGAGGAGCGCTGCGGAGGATGAGAAAGAGGGGGGGAGACGGAAAAGGAGGAGGAGGAGGAGGAGGAGGAGGAGGAGTGAGAGGAAGAGGAAAGGGGTGACTTGGAAGGAGAACAACGACCTACGACGACGTCGACGACGACGACGACGACGTCGACGACGACGACGACTGCGGTAACGGCAACGACGGTGCCAGCGACGACCCCAGGTTTTGTCTGGGGCAGTGCTCTGACCACAATCTCGATTCGGACCCAGACGTGGCCTCGAGAGCGCCCATGTGATGCACGATTCCCCCGAGAGCATCCGAGGAGACTCGTGAGCCTCGATCCCCCGAGGCAGAGGCCTCTGGGGTGACGCCGAGGCTGCCTGGAGGTCTCTGGTGTTCCCTGCGGGCCTCCAGAGGCCAGGGCTTTTTGCGCAGCGTGCCGCGGCGCCGGCCCTGGCTCGGCACGACACGCTGTCCCCGTCCTCCATCTCCTCCTCCTCCTCCTCCTCCTCCGCCTCCTCCGCCTCCTCCTCCTCCTCCTGTCCCCATGCCCCAGGCGTCAGCGTCGCGTCCCGAGCTTCCTCCGAGCCTGCCGCCCCGTGCAGAGCGGAGCGCCACGCCATCCGCCTGCAGGGCACGGAGCGTCGTCGCCGGGGCCCGCTGCTGCGACAGGCTAAGCAAGAGTTCCCGACCGCATCCTCCTCCTCCTCCTCCTCTGCGGTGGCGACGGCGGCAACGGCGGCGGCGAGGACGATGGCGGTGGCGGCGACGACGCCGATGACCACGGCGGGTCGATCTTCGGCGAGGCTGCTGCCTGCTCGGCGCCGTCGCCGTCGCGGCGCTGGGTGCCGCCGCCTGCGCCGCGGGATGCGCGTCGGTCGGCCTGGCCCGCGGTGCCATGGTGCCGCGGGCGTCGCCGCCGTCGGCGTCGTCGTCGTCGCAATCAGTGTCGTCGTCATCGTTCTCCAGAACAGGAAAAATCACACATACTGCTGCGTTTCCCTCGTCGCCACGGCTTGATTTGCCTCGACGTCATGGTCAGAACGTATCTTTGAAGAGGTCTTGGGAGCAGCAGCACTGGTACCTTTTCTACCTCCCCCCTGTCGCCATCAGTCTCGTCGTCGCCGTCGTCGTCGTCGTCGCCGTCGTTGTTGTCGTCGTTGTCGTCGCTGTCGTCGTCGTCGTCGTCGTCGTCGTCATTAACCTCGTCGTCGTCGTCGTCGTCGTCGTCGTCGTCAGTGTTAAAGTCCTGTTGGTCGTTTGTGTCGTCGCCATCGTCGTTGTTGCTGCCCTCGTGGAAGTTTTGGTCGGCGCTCATGGCGTCTGCCCCTTCGCTGTAAGTTTCACGGTGGCCGTTGTTTTGTCAGTCGTCGTCCTCCATCTCGCCAGCCTCGTCCTTGCCGTCGTCGTCGTCCGCGTCGGAGGAGGAGGGGCGAGTGAGGATGTGGATTAGGACGGAGACGGGGGGTGGGGCGAGGGAGGAGGGCGCCGGAAGCAGATGGGAAGATGGAGGAGGGAGGAGGGAGCAGGAGATGGCAGAGGGGGGGGGGAGTGGCGAGGTGCCCTCGCGTCATACCTGATGTCTCCCTCATATCCCTTAAGTACCACTGCGCTGATTTGTTCTCTATCCCCGGACGCGTATCATAGCGAACCTGGAATTCCCAGGGCCCCAACGTGTTATGCGTAGTCGGAAATGCGAGCTGCGTGCGCAGGAGGAGGGGGAAGAGGACGAGGAGGTGGCCGATGAGCAGGAGGATGAGCAGGAGGAACATGAGCAGGATGAGGAAGGCGGCGGTGGAGGAGGATGAGGAGGAGGAGGAGGACGGGGACCAACAACAGCAGCAGGAGCTGGACAGGAAGGAGCGGGAGGAGCAGGAGGACCAAGGGAAGGCGGAGAAGGGAAACGAGGGGCGCGACAACAATGATTTTGGATTCGGATCCAGAAGACTGGCCCGCGCTGGGGGGGAGAGCGCTGTTCTGACCGATGGAAGCAGCGCGACGATCCGAAAATGAGTCCCAGGCTGCAGCGGGAGCACCACTTAGAAATTTCGAAGAACAGTTGGGCTGCGAACGCATCGGAGAAATCAGCGTTCACAATCTTGTGTGTGAACATCCATTGTGCGGAGAGGGCCAGACATCTACCAGACAGAGTCAGGGGAGAGAAGATAATAATAGTCATCATGTTTGCGACAGGAGGAGGGAAACAATGATAATGGTTGTGACAAGAGGCGATATACATAATGTCTGCGACAGGATGAGGAGGATAGTAATAGTCATCAAGAGAGAGGTGAATAGTCATTTTCAGGGGCGGGGAGGAGGAGGAGTGAGGAGGGGTGGGAGGGAGAACATGGGGAGTGAGGAGGGAGGAATTGGTCTGGTTGCAGTGGCGGCCTGCCCAGGCGCGTGCCAAACTATAGCGAAGTCCGCTCTCAGACGCTAGTCGGCTCGTTTTATACCTGCCTTATCGCCCAGAGACGAGACATGATCTGAACGAGCACTGGGAACCGTCCACTGACCAGGCGCCTATCTTTCAGGAAGAGCCGACTGGGGGAACATGGGACGAGAGCAGAGGCTTGTTAAGCACTGCGCCCTGACAGCCTCAGGAAAGCTATCACGGGCCCAACAGGAAGGCTGTCCAAAAGCATGAGCTGTACGGGAGCAGCGGAATAGAAGTAAAGAGGATAGATGAGGGGTGAATAACTGTGAGTGGCGGGAAATGATCGGAGGAGGAAGAGGAGGGAAGGGAAGGGCGGGGGCAGGAGGTGGATGGGGAGGAGGAGGTGGAGGAGGAGCAGGAGGAGGAGGAGAACAAAGAGAAGGGGGCTGGCGGCAATAAAGAGGGTGTTGTAAGAGAAGGGGAGGAGGAGGAGGAGGAGGAGGAGGAGGAGGAGGAGGAGGAGGAGGGAGGAGGAGGAGGCAGAGCAGGACAGTCAGGCGGAGGAGGAGGCGGAGGAGGAATCACACTAATAATAATATCAGGAATAATAATCGTAATAATAATACTTAGACACATAAATATCAATAACAATATCATTCATGATAAGAAGAAACACAATCGGAGGATGAGGATGAGGAAGTCTGGGGGGAGGAGGAGGAGGAGGAGGAGGAAGAAGAGGAGGAGCAGTGCAAACTCAAGACGCACCAAGTTGCTTCATCACCGGGCCTTGCAATAATCGACTCTAGACGCTTCGCGAACCCCACTAGTCCATCCATAAACGATGTCTGGGCGAGGAGCACGCAGGCGAGGAGCACGCAGGCACGTTGCCTTGATCAGGCACGCAGGGGAGCACGCAGTGGAATAAAGGCTGACAAACCGTGGTACCCGAAGAGGGGACATATCTAGATGAAAGAGCGCGCCGAGTTCGGTGACAGGACGGATGAGAGCAGCGGGAAGGGGATGGAAGGATAGAGGAGGAACCAGGGGAGGAGAAGGACGAGGAGGAAAAGGAGGAGGAGGAGGACGAGGAGGAGGAGGAGGAGGAGGAGGAGGAGGAGGAGGAGGAGGAGGAGGGGGGGGGAGGAGGGATGAGGGCGAAGGGAGGAGGAAGGAGGAGACTTAGGCGGATGAGGAAAGGGAAAAGGAAGAGGGCGAACAAAAAGCCCAGAGGCCTCTTGGATGCTCCTCGGAGTCTCTTCGGATGTCTCTCGAGAGCTTTTTGTAGGCCCATTGGGGCGTCTTGGGGGCCCTCTTGGCGGTACCTGGGGCCTCTTGAAGCGTCTTGGATGCACCGGAGGAGCCTCTACGGGCCTCTTGAGGGTCTCTCGGGGGTATATTTGGGGCATCCTGGAGGCGTCTTGGGAGCACCTTAGTATAATCAACGAGGTTGGCCTTTTCGCCGAGGCCATCTTGGACGCTATAATCCCGCGCGACGCCCCCCCCGGTCCAGGTCCAGGGGGTGGGGTGAGGGGAGGGGTACACTTTTCCCCGAAGGGGGAGAAGGGGGGTTGGAAGATGAAGCTCGCGAAACCACTCACGCCCTAAAGGACAAGTGGGCTTTTCATTGCCGGAAGTGCCCCATTAACCGTGCGAACGCACCATTCCTGGGACTTCAACGCCGCGAGTCGAAGTGACTGTTGCGCCCAGACAATCTTTAATCGTGCCAGAGTATCAGCCTGGGGGTTCAGCTCCGCGAATCAAGGTGATTGTCGCGTCCTGGCAATTCAAAGTCGCGCCAGCGCACCACTCATGGATTTCAGCCATACGAACCACGAACCCTTATTGGCAGAACTGCAAACTGTTAAGTCGAACCTGCGTGGCGTTACCAGGAAAGCTATGCATCTTCGAAGCTGCGGCGAACTTTACGGCGAGTGCGCGCTGCGTGAGGGTGAGAGCCAAACTTTTGAAGACGGGCCGCCCTCCATCTTTCAAAATTGCTGCACCCACTTCTGACAAATATGCACGGTCGCAGGCGCAGAGGTTGACACCAACACCAAGATCGGCGGTGTGCATCCACCGAGGGAAGACGATCCCGATCTCGGTGATGGTGATAATATTCTGGCTTCCGAGATGACCGAACTATTACCACCGACACCGAAATTTAGGACCCTCTTCTCCATGTGGAGGCAAACCCCCTATGCTGGTGTTGGTGCCAATTTCCAGGCCTCCAACACGGCGCCAAAGGGCACCCGATGTGCGACCGCGCGCGTGCGAGTGCGCGCGGCGCCGGAGTGTGCGTGGAGCGGGCCTTGCTGGGGGGAACGAGCACCTCCGCGCTCGGCGGTGGCGCCCTGGCCGCGCGGCTGCCGCTGGGAGCGGGACGGCTGCAACCTGTGGTTCAAAGGCAAATGTTTTAGAGGGGAGCTCTGGCTCGGCGGCGAGCCAGGGGGGGAAGTGAGGAGGAGAGGGCCTTCTCAGAAGGCGGTGGGTCTTCTCAGAGACCCTCGCGCCCTCTGAGACATGTTCCGCGCCTCCAGGGAAGGCGGAGGCAACCTCTCAGAAGGCTGGGGGACTTCCGCGCCTTATAGACGGCGCACCCCTTCTCACTTCCCTCCCGGGCTTGCTGCCGACTGGTAGCACCAGCGCCCCGGGAAACGACACGGTTGCACCCTGTCAACATGCGGGCCGGTAGCCTCGATGGCGATAGCGCGCGCCCGCGGAACGACGACGATCACAACTTCGTCTGAGGCGCGAGGGGTCCGTCGAGGCAATTTCTATTGAGCCGCGCCCAGCCGAGGCCACCAGATCTACCCCAAACACTCAGGAAGCTCGAAAACGACGGCGACTGCGGCAACGGCGTCGACGACGTCGGCGACAGCGCCGCATCCCACTCGTTGGAACTGTGCCCTGTGAGTTGAAGCCCGGCCATACCAGGACCCCTCGAGGCCCACCGGCCCGCGTGGCCCACCAAGGGGGGGGCTGCGGAGTAGAAGGCGAGTGCTGGAGCCTTCTGGGCTTGCCTGGCGACGAGGGTCAGAGGAGGAGGATCAGGGAGAGCTGGAGGGATGACGGAGCAGGAGAAGCAGGAGGAGGAGGAGGAGGAGGAGGGCTTCGTGGAGGAGGGGGACATAGAGCAGGCGGAGGAGGATGATAAGGAGAACGAGGAGGAGTGGAGGAACAAAAAGACAAGGGGAAGACGAGCTGAACGAGGAGGGGAGGGACAGCAACTGAGGAAGATGAGGGGGAGGAACATCTGGAGGGGGAGGGGGAGGAGCGCGGGGGTATGGACGGAGGAGCTTCGGAGGAGGAGCCTGGAGCAGACGCTGGAGACGGAACAGGGGCAGCAACATAATGGCGAGACGCAGCAGTCGCAGCACCAGGGGGCACCCCGCAGGTGCGCCCGCGGCCGCCACTCGCGCGAGCGCCGCGCGCTGGGAGGCGCAACCTGACCCTCGCTGTCCTCCTCCTCCTCCTCCTCCTCCTCCTCCTCCTCCTCCTCCTCCTCCTCTTTCTTCTCCTCCTCCTCCTCCTCCTTCTCCTCCTCCTCCTCCTTCTCCTCCTCCTCCTCCTCCTCCTCCTCCTCCTCCTCCCATTTCTTTTCCTCCTTTTTTGGCCATGGTGCATCAGGCTCCTCCATTCCCCACCGTTTTACTTGGGGCTCGGCGCCGAGCTGCAGCGGGGCCATGGAGCTAACAAGGCCAGGGTCCCGTAGGCTGACCCCTGCGATGCCGATAATGCCGCCAACAGCTACAGAGCTCGGCAACAGATGCGACACGAGCCTCGTTGCCGAGTAAGAGAGGATTCACCAGTTGCCAAGGCTCCCGACTCCGACTCCGACTCATCCTTTCTCTCTCTCCCAGGGGCCTTTCCCTCCTTCTCCTCCTCCTCCTCCTCCTCCTTCTCCTCCTCCTCATGGCGCCAACATCGCAGAGCGGAGCTTGTTCGGAAAACGACAAGGCGGGCCCGGAGTGTCCTGGAGAATTTCGTTCCGGATTTCGAGGTGAATTTCGTGCGGTTTTTTTTGGCCAGGACTTAAGACCAAAACGAGCCCACGCGAAACTCACTTCGTTTTTCGCTCGCCGCTTCGGGCGAACATCCACGCAGAAATCCGCTGCAGCACGTCTGCAAGGCCTGTGCAATGATCGATGTTGGCTGGCCCGACCCGATTCGACTCCGATGTTCCGACGACCCGATGTGCCCCGACGATTTTCGCAGGGCGTTGCTGTGCACCTTGGCACCTCCGATCCGATCCGATCTAGACTCTGTGCCGGTGCCGGCCCGATCCGACGCACGCTCCGACTGGAGCCGCTCTCCCGAGTCGATGCCGACGGATCCACGGCGAGGGGCCCCGTGGCGCGGGCTCGGCGAGTCGGGCGGAGTGCCCGAGCCGAGCTGGCGCTAGGAGGAGGAGGAGGAGGAGGAGGAGGAGGAGGAGGAGGAGGAGGAGGACGAGGAGGAGGAGGAGGAGGAGGACGAGGAGGAGGAGGAGGAGGATGAGGAGGAGGAGGAGGAGGGGAGGAGGAGGAGGGGGAGGAGAGGAGGAGGAGGAGGAGGAGGAGGAGGAGGAGGATCAGGAGGAGGAGGAGGAGGAGGAGAGGAGGAGGAAGGAGGAGGAGGAGGAGGAGGAGGAGGAGAGGAGGAGGAGGAGGAGGAGGAGGAGGAGGAGGAGGGGGAGGAGGGGGAGGAGGAGGGAGGAGGAGCAGTGCCAGGACACGAGGTGTCTTCTCTTGCCGGGGTGCTGCGCTGGCCGTGCCCGGAGCCCAGGGCAGCAGCGGCGGCAGGGTCAGAAAGCCTCCCCCCGCGAAGCTCGTCCTTTCGCTCTCTGTGCCCCTTCTGCCCGCTTCTCGCGCTCCGCTCCCCTCTCTGACCTCCCTCCCTCTCTCGCCCCCCCTCTCTTTTTTTATTATTTTTTTTGTTTCTCTCTCTCTCTCTCTCTCTCTCCCCCTCTCCTACCCTTTCTCCCTCCCTCTCCCTCCCCCTCTCTCCCTCTCGCTCGATCTCTCTTGTTTTCTCTGGCTCGTGCTCTCCTCTCGCGGCCTGGGGCTCGGCACCTGGGCGCCCGGTGTTTTTCCCCGGAAGTCTTCGACAGGGCTCGACTCCCAGTCCACTGGTGGTGCCTGGGGGAGGGCGGGGGCGAAACAAAAGCACAACAAAGCATGCTGTTTGTTCAATGTTCCCCAATCAGAGCTTGCCTCTGTAGGGGTCCTAGCGGATTCATGTGGTTAGGTTAGGTTTGTCGCCGATTTTCGCGGCACGCCCGGGTGCCCGGGGGTGCCCGGGCCCGGGTGCCCTGGGGGTGGGTGCCCGGGTGCCCGGGTGCACGGGTGCCCGGGCGTGCCCGGGGGTGCCCGGGGGTGCTTGGGGGTGCCCTATAGCCCCGTAGCCCTAAGCCCTGTAGCCCTATAGTCATATAGCCCAATAGCCCTATAACCCTATAGTCCTACAACTCTATAGCCCTATAGCTCTATAGTCCTATAGCTCAATAGCCATGTAGCCCCCTAGCCCTATAGCCCTGATTGGGTTTTTTCTCCGGTATCATGTGTTTGTTGTGCTTCTGTTTTTGCCCTTGCCCCCCCACCCCCTCCCAGTCAAGCAGTCGACCACCGCGTGCACTCGAGACCAGGATGGGCCGGAGGGGGCGACGAGGCCGGCGGCGGCGATTCTCTACGGAGGATTCCGTGTCAATGGTCCATCACGAAGGATCCTTTTCTAAACGAAAGAGTCCGTACTTCGGATTCCACACTTGCTACGGGTACCTTATTAAGAACAATTGTAATATATTCTCCAATACGGAACTCCCACGAATAATCCCCTACTGGGGGTTCCAGCAAGGGGATTCTTTAATATGAACCCCAGACGCAGGACCTCTTGCCACGGATCCTTGGCTAAGGATTCCGCACCAAGGGTTCCCAACTCAACGTTCCCTACCAATGCGGAGCATTGGATTCGAACCCGTACTATGTATTAGTGGTTCTTTACGACGGGTCTCCCTTCCCATGGTTCTTACTTGGGGCTCCTTGCAAAGGATCCCGTTTCTAAGGGTTCCCGACCTGGGATTGTTTACGACGGATTTCCGGTTGCATAATCAATAGTTTGAATTTGCCCGTAGTGATCTCTCATTAATCATTCTTTGCTTGCGGCCCCCACCAAAGGTTCTTTCCTCAGGACCCCTTACCTCGGATTCCGTACTTCGGACCCCTGATCAAGGATTCCCTTCAACCCCCAATTGTTGATCCCTCAAGGAATCCTTGCAACAGGTTCCCGACTAGGGAGTCTTCTATAACAGGTCACGAAGAATGGCTCCAGAGTGCAGATTCTTTAATGAGCATCCCTTATGAAGGATGCCATTTAAACGGATTGCCTACGAAGGGTTACCGATCCAGGTTTCTTTATTTTGGCGCAGAGTTAGAACAATTGTTTACCCAGACGTAGCAAGGCCCACCCTGACTTAGCAACGTTTTCCAATGGTTTACCAGGAGCTACCAACGCCTGCCGAGGCTCAGCAACGCTGAGCAGGGCTGAAGAAGGCTTATACAGCCCAGCTGAGCTTGGCAAGGCTCACCCAGGTCATCAAGGCTTAGCGAAGACTACCAAGGCGTAGCAGGGTGTGCCAGGATTTGGAAGGGCTTAACAAAGCTTGCCAGGGCTGAGCTGTGCCTAGGGAGGCCTAAGCCGGGTTGGCCAGAGGTTCGCATGGGGCTGTCAGGGTTTAGCAAGGCTGACCAGGCCTTAGCAGAATTTAACAGTGATGCTCAGAGCCCAGCAGGTATCAGCAAGGGCTTAGCAGAGCGCAGCAGGACGCACCAAGGCTCCGCAAGGATTAGCAGGGCGTTGCAAAGCTTGCCAAGGCAGAGCAAGGCTCAGCAAGGCTGGGCAGGGCCCAGCAAGCAAGGTGTACCAAGCTGAGCTGGGCCCAGCAAGGCTTACCACGGCGTAGCAGGGCTCGGCAAGGCTTACCAGGGCTGGGAGGGCTGAGCAACTCTTTGCAGGGTTTAGCAAAGTCTAGCAGGGCTGACCAAGGCTTACCAGAGCGTAGCAGGGCTCAGCGGAGCTTGGCAGAGGTTAGCAAGGCTGGGCATGGTTTTGCGATGTTTAGCAGGGCTGAACACGGGTTGCCACAACGTAGCAAGGCGTAACACATCTTACCAGGGCCTGAGTGGGAAGGCTTGCGAGTGCTGCAGAGCTTTGCAGGGCTCAGCAGAGCCGCGCAGGGATTAGCAAAGCTCCTCGCGGCTTAGCAGGGCCTAGCAAGGTTTACAATTTCGTACCACGGCTTAGCAGTGCTTGCCAGGGCTTCGCAGGTCCTATTCGTGCTTGACAGGGCGAATTGCTAGCAAGGCTTAGCAGATCTCACTGGGGCTTAGCAGGGATGCGCAAGTCTTTAAGAATGCTGGACTCGGCCAAACAAGGCTTAGCAAGACTTAGCAAGACTCACCACTGGTTCGTAAAGCTTCGCATGGCTTAAAAGCGGTGACAGCGGCCAATGACGAGGTCGACGACGACGACGACGGCGACGCCAACGACGACGACGGCGACGCCGACGACGACGACGACGACGGCGGCGGCGACGACGACGACGACGTCGACGTCGACGACGTCGACCTGCTCGCGGCCCGCAGGTGGCTCCGTGCGCCGCGCAGCGTTGCCGCCTCCGCGGGGCCCACGAAGCTCGTCAACACGCAGGAGGAGCCACTCTGTTGGGGCCTCCAATCCTCGGACCGTGATCGGCGCCGCGCCAAAAGGGGGGAGTGGGAGGAGTTTCGGGCTCGAGGTTCGGGTCTCTGGGCCTTTTCGTTGGTTCTCGGCGGTCGTCCGGCCTCGGGAGGCGTTCCAGCAGCTGCGCCTCGCCGAGAGGCTTCCGGGGGTGCCCGGATCGCCCTGGACGGCCGCGGGAGAGCCGAGTCATGACCTGAAAAGGACCATGGGTCCGAGAATGGGCGGGCCTTATCAGAGGCTGGCGGGGCTTATCAGACCCTTTTGCGCCTTCCGGGAAGGTGCTTGAGCTTTCTCCGGGGCCGCCGACAGCTTTTCAGAAGGCGCGGGAACTTTTCAGGAGCCCTGCCGCCTTTGACAAGGCCTGCTCCCTTTCGCTTCCGCCTGGGCTCGCCGCCGACGTCAGAAAGTCGCAGCGGACGGCTTCCTGCTATTTTCGGCGGGTCTTCGCCGGGCCCCTGGACTGTCAAAGAGCAGCTATCCCAGCACAGCACAGCAGCTTGAGGTGAAGAGACGGGCCGAGAGAAGGAGATCGGCCATAGGGCACAGGGGTGAGAGTGAGAGCACGGCCATGCCCATCTCAGCGCATGCTTTACGAGGGTCGTGGCCGTCCGGGTCAAACATGTGGCCAGCACTGAGTGGCGAGAGCACGATTCCTGAGTAAACGGTCAGTAAGTCTCAGGCGGAGCCGCCCGCCATGCGTGTGGCTGCTGCACAAAGTTTGCGTTGATGGCCATGTATTTGAAACGTCCCACGCGAGAGCCGGACTCCCCTCTCTGTCACTGGCAGTGTTCAGCAATAGTCATGTCTGGCAGTGCATACTGAAGAAGTCTTTAGCGAGAGCCCCATCTTTTTAGGCTAGCCAGCGTAGACCCGAAGCAGTGCGCTGATGCACTGCGGACGTGGAAGCTGTGTGGTGCCAGCTGTCTCACAACATCTTTTTGGCGTGGGCCAGCGAAGCGGAACTATGCGGTGCACGCTATGTCGTGTAAGTTTGTCGTGCAAGTTGGGTCGTATACGGTAGGTTCGTGCAATGTCGACCGGCGGTGACCGTGCGGGCAGCGCTCAGCGTTGAACGCCGCCAGCGACCCAGAATCGGTCGAGATCGAACGACCTTACGTTCCTCGGAAGCGGCCCTGGGGCTTGGGGTCCTTCGGTGCTTTGGGGAAGGTCGAGATTGGCCGAGTTTGCCCCAGCGTGATCAGCGTCCATGATGGTGTGCCGAACGTTCGGGTGCGCTGCACGTTTGAAAGAACGTCGACGACGACGAGGACGACGCCGACGACGATGATCCCGACCATGACAGCGAGCAACGACGACGACCAACGATGACGACGACGACGACGACGATGACGAGGGCCTCCGGGGGCTTCCCTGGACTGACGTCTTCGCATTGTGTCGGGCCTCTGGGGGCTTCCTTGGACGGACGTTTGCGCATGGTCTAGGACCTCCGGGGGCTTCCATGGCAGACATTTTCGCATGGTGTAGTGCCTACGGTTTTTTTCGGACAGATTTGTTCGAACGGTGTTGGGCCTGTGGGAGATTCCCATGACAGATGTGTTCGCATGGTGTTGGGCCTCTGGGAGTTCCGATACGTTCGTTCCGATCCTGACGATGACAACGAGTACCGGCGACGACCGACTCACCTCTTTGTGCTGGTGGCCCGGTCATTTTTGCCACAGCGGAGTTTCAGGCAGCCGCGTGATCGATCGCGTCTCCTTGCACGCCCTCCTGCTTTCCTTCATCGTACTTCGCTTTCGGGCCATTCTTTGGATGGCCAGCGCTCAGGGACCTTGGGTCTCTCGAGGTGGGTGCGAAGTCGCCCTCTCTTTTAGCAGTAGTTTTTCTTTATCGCTCATAATGAGGACGGAGGCTCCATTGAATTGGTGTTACTGCGATGCGGCCTGGGATATGTGCACGTCGAGGGCTTCCAATCCCAAATCTGGTATTTTCGTGCCACAGGCCCTGGGGAGTTTGATTCATTTTTCAGAGCGGGCCGATTCGAGACTCAGAATGGACCGACTCACGATATAAAGCGTTTTCGCATGGTGCAGGGCTTCTGGGGGCTTCCCTGGACGGACGTCCTTGCATGGTAAAGGACCCCGGGGGGGTCCGTGGATGGACGTTTGCGCATGGTCTAGGACATCTGAGAGGTTTCCTGGCAGACGTTTTCGCATGGTGTAGTGTCTGCGAGGGCTTCTTTGGGCAGATTTGTTCGAAAGGCGTTGAGCCTCCGGGAGCTTCCCATGACAGATGGTTTCGCATGGTGTTGGGCCTGCTGGGGTTCCGATACCTCCGTTCCGATCCCAACGATGACAATATGCAACGACGACCGACGACGACGATGACGACGGACGGACGGACGACGCAGCACGACGACGACGACGACGACGACGACGACGACGACGACTACGAGGACGGACGACGACGGATGACGACATATGACGACGACGCCGGCGATGACGACGGAGGACCGCGAATGATGCTCCCCCGAACTATATCGATGCACGTCTGACCTCTTTGTGCTGGTGGCGCGGTGACTTTTGCCATGGAGGGGCCTCAGGCAGCTGCGTGATCAATCGCATCTCGTTGCACGCCCTCCTCCTTTCTTCACAATACCCATTTGTTGAGCCGCTCCTCGGATGGCGGGCTCTAATGGACCTTGGGTTTCTCGAGCTGGGTGCGAAGTCTCCTTCTCTTTTCGCAATCGCTACTCGTTCTCATGGCGGGTGGTCCTGAAAAACCGTACGCCCAGAAGCTTCCAGAGGTTGGGGGTGTCAGACGTGGTGGGGGGGTGCCAGCGACGATTTATGCAGGGTGGGTGGCCCCTGAGAACCTACACCCGGAAGCTTCCAGATTCCAGAGGCTGGGGGTGTGAGACGTGGTGGGGAGGTGCCGGCGACGATTTTTGCAGGGTGGGTGGTCCTGAAAACCCTGTGCCCACAGGTTTCCAGAGGCTGGGGGTGCGAAGCGTGGCCAGGGGGTGCCGGCGACGATTTTTGCAGGGTGGGTGGTCACCTGCGTCCAGAAGTTTCCAGATTCTAGAGACGAGGGGTGTCAGACGTGGTGGGGGGGGGGCCGGCGACGACTTTTGCAGGGTGGGTTTTCCTTCGGATCCTACGCCCACGGGTTTCGGGGGCTGAGGATGTGAGACGTGGCTGGAGGGTAGCCGGCGACGATTTTTGCAAGGTGGGTGGCCCTTGAAAACCGTGCGCCCAACGGCTTCCAGAGGCTGGGGGTGTCAGAAGTGGCGGGGGGGGGTGCCGGCGACGATTTTTGCAGGGTGGGCGGCTTTGATAAACTGACGCCCAGAGGCTTCCAGAGGCTTGGGGTGTCAAGCGTGGTGGGGGGCAGCGACGATTTTTGCAGGTGGGGGGGCATTAAAATCGTATGCCCAGAGGCTCCAGAGGTTGGGGGTGTCAGACGACGCTGGGGGGGGCCGGCGACGATTTTTGTAGGGTGGCGGGTCCTTAAAAAATTACGCCCAGAGGCGTCCAGAGGCTAGGGGTGTCAGACGTGGCGGGGGGGGTCCCGCGACCACAGGGTGGGTGGTCTCTTGGAACTTACACCCACAGGTTTCCAGAAGCTGGGGGTGTGAGACGTGGTTGGGGGGTTGCCGGCGGCGATTTTGCAGGATGGTTGGTCCCTAAAACTGTATGCCCAGAGGCTTCCAGAGGTCGGGAATGTCAGACGTAGTGGAGGGGGGGGCCGGCGACGATTTTTGCAGGGTGGGTGGTCCAAAAACCGCATGCCCAGAGGCTTCCAGAGGCTGGGGGTGTGAAGCGTGGTTGGGGGGTTGCCGGCGACGATTTTTGCAGGGTGGGTGGACCCCCCTTGAAACATACGCCCGAAAGTTCTCAGATTCCAGAGGCTGGGGGTGTCAGACGTGGTGGGGGGGGTGCCCGCGACGATTGTTGCAGGGCGGGCGGTCCTTAAAAGCCGTACGCCGAGAGGCTTCCAGAGGCTGGGGGTGTCAGACGTGGTGGGGAGGTGCTGGCGACCATTTTTGCAGAGATGGTGGTCCTGAAAACCGTATGCCCAGAGGTTTCAGAGGCTGGGGGTGTCAGACTTGCCGGCGACGATTTTTGCAGGGCGGGTGGTCTTGACAACCGTACGCCCAAAGGTTTCCAGAGGTTGGGGGCGTGAGACGTGGCTGGGGGGTTGCCGGCGACGATTTTTGCAGGGTGGGTGGTCACCTACGCCCAGAAGTTTCCAGATTCCAAAGGTGTCAGACGTGGCGTGTTGGGGGGGGGGGCAGCGACGATTTTTGCAGGGCGGCCGGTCCTTAAAAACCGTACGCCCGCAGGTTTCCAAATGCTGGGGGTGTCAGACGTGGTGGGGGGGGGCGGCGACGATGTTTGCAGGGTGGGTGGTCCCCAATAACCTAATTACGCCCAGAAGCTGGGCGTGTCAGACGTGGTGTCTCCCGGGGGCCATCCTGGAGGAAGGGGCCCCGAAGTGGCAGGTCGTGCTTCCCCCTTCCGGGGGACGCGTTGGGGGCCTTTTGGGAACCTCGTTCGCTGC